TCCCTCCCTCCCTCCCTCCCTCCCTCCCTCCCTCCCTGCCTCCCTCCCTCCCTCCCTCCCTCTCCCTCCGGCGGGGTGAGCCGAGATCAGCCGAGAGCTAGGCGGGCACAATCTCCCCATATCTCCCCATATCTCCCGAGAGCTAGGCGGGCACGATTCGGTGCGGCGCGGGCGTCAAGCTTTGCGACCTCGAGCCCCCTCTGTATTTCCTTTTTGCAAGCTGTGTTTCTTTTTTCATAGGCGTCAAGCTTTGCGACCTCGAGGACCACGCGCGCCAGCACGGCTGGGAGCTGCGGCAGCACCCGAGCACGCGTCGCACCGCCTCGGTCGGGGAGATAGATGGAGATCGCAATCTCGGCGGAGATCGCAATCTCACCGCCTCGGTCGGAGAGGTAGATGGAGAGGGGAAGAGCAGCCTTGGCCGGCGACTGGGCACCGGCGGATACAGAGGCACACAGACACACAGACTAGACACTCCGCCAACTAGGAAGTGAGAGGGGACTTCGCCACGAGGCCGTGACTCCCAGCCCTACGCCTACCTAACCCTGACCCTGACCCTAACCTTAACCCTACCCCCAACCCTCCCCCTCCCCCTCCCTACCCCTACCCCTGACCCTAACCCTAACCCTGACCCTAACCCTAACCCTAGGTTGGCGGCTTCGTGGCGGGCGGATCGACGGGCCACGGGGCACTGCTGCACGGCGGCTTGTCCGAGGCCGGCGCGCCGCTCGGCTCAGTTCGCCATGAGTGAATGCGTCATCATGAACAATTGAAGCAGCAGGACGGCGCGGTGCTTGGCCTGCGCGTCGTCACGGCGGAGGACCAGACGCCGCGCGTGCTGGAGCTGAGCGGACGCGACGTCTTCCCCGTCGTCCACGCCTACGGCACCAACGGCGTGATCACGTCGGTGGAGCTGCCGCTCGCGCGCGCGCAGGCGCGGAGCACGCACACGCACACACACCACACACACCACACACGCCACTCACACCACACACACCACACACACCACACACACCACACTCACTCACTCACTCACCCACTCACACACCCCGCTCACCCACGCGCACCGCTCACCCACGCGCACCGGGCCGTGCACTTTGAATGCCGTGCGGCTCCTGTCCGGCAGACGCGGAGTCGAGAGGGCTGCCCGGCCCTTGCCCCACCACCCTCGCCCGTGTGGAGAAGAAGACTTTGCCCTGCCTGATCCCAGGCGTGGAGCGACGTCACGGCCGCCTTCCCGTCCCTCGACGCCGCCGCGGCGTTCGCGCTCGATGTGGCCAACGCGCCCGCGGTCGTGAAGCGCGGGATCAGCGTCTTCCAGGCCCCGATCGCGCACAAGTACTTGGAGGCCGACGCGCTGATGCACGCGACGGGTGCGGACGCGCCGCAGTGGGACAGCGCTCACGGACGCGACGGTGCGATGGCGGCCGGCGGCGACGCGCGCCACGTGGCTATGGTGCAGTGCTCACCTCCAGGGGTTGGCCCAGTCGAGCGGCTCTGCGCGGAGCACGGAGGGCTGACGACGCGCGTGGTCAAAGCGACGGAGGCACCGCGGCCGATGTACGAGTTTGGCTGGAACCACACGACGCTGCACGCGCTGCGGGCCGACAAGTCGGTCACCTACCTGCAGTGCGTGCTCGAGCCGTCGTCGGCGCTCGGGCTGCTCCGCCGCGTGTCGGAAGAGTTCGACCCGTCCGAGCTGCTGCAGCACCTCGAGGTGGCCAACTCCCGAACTACTTATGCATTCATCCTCAACTCGTAGTTAGTGGTCAGCACCTCGAGGTGGCCAACTCCTGAATTAGTCATACATTAGTTGGCTCTTCGAAATAAGTAAGTCCGCACCTCGAGGTGGTCAACTTCGGAGGCCGCGCGGGCTTCGCCTCGCTCGCGCTGCTCTGGCCAAAGGGCGAGACTGGGGAGGCCGCCAACCAGCGGCTGCGCGAGATTCTCTCGTGGCACGAGGCCAATGGCATCCCCGTCTTCGACCCGCACACGCACGTGCTCGAGGACGGCGGGATGAAGGTGACGGATCGGGCGCAGCTCACCACATCTCCCCAAATCTCCCCCCACATCTCCCCACGTCTTCCCACATCTTCCCACCTCTCCCCACCTCTCCCCACCTCTCCCAAGGTGACGGACTGGGCGCAACTCGGCTTCAAGCGGCGCGTCGACCCGCACGGCCTGCTCAACCCCGGTAAAATGCGAGCCTGGGAAGAGCAGAGCGCCACCGCCGACACCTCCGACCCCCGAGGCGCCTTCGCTGCCTCGTACCGCATCGCTGACACTTCGGCCGTTGGCAGTGGTCCGAACGTCGCCACCTCCGCCACCGCCGCCGACGCGTCCTCCACCGCCGCCGATTCTTTCGGCACGCACGCCAGCAGCCCCGGCTCGGGGCGCCGTCGGCCCCGCTCGCGCCTGTGGGGGGAGTGGAGCACGGCGGACTTTGCGGAGGCTGACCTCTCGCAGGCGGTGAGATAGATGGAGATCTCCGCCAGGAGATCGCAATCTTGGCGGAGATCGCAATCTCACCGTGACCTCTCGCAGGCGGTGAGATAGATGGAGATCTCCGCCAGGAGATCGCAATCTTGGCGGAGATCGCAATCTCACCGTGACCTCTCGCAGGCGGTGAGATAGATGGAGGTCTCCGCCAGGAGATCGCAATCTTGGCGGAGATCGCAATCTCACCGTGACCTCTCGCAGGCGGTGAGATAGATGGAGATCGTAATCTTGGCGGAGATCGCAATCTCGCCGTGACCTCTCGCAGGCGGTGGCGGTGCTCCCACTTGGTGCCGTCGAGGCTCACGGCCCGCACCTGCCCCTCGGCGTTGACGCGATGCACAACGCCGACCTGCTCCACCGCGCGCTGGCGGCCCTCCCCGAGGAAGCTCTCGTGCTGGCGATGCCACCTCTCGACGTGGGCGTCAGCTGCGAGCACGCAGGCTTCGCCTGCACACTCGAGGCCATGTCTCCCCGTGTGTGTCTCCCCTCATCTCCCCACATCTCCCCACATCTCCCCACATCTCAGGCTTCGCCGGCACACTCGAGCTCTCGGCGGAGACGGCGGCGGCGGCGTGGTGTGAGCTGGGCGCGTGCGTCGCACGGGTGGGCATCCGCAAGCTCGTGCTGTACAACTCGCATGGCGGCAACCACGCGCTTGCGGAGGTTGTCGCAAGGCGGCTGCGGAAGCGGCACGGCATGCTGACCGTCCTCGCCATGAACCTCGGAGCGAGCATGGCGCCCGGCTCTGCCTGCGCAAATCTCTTCCCCGAGGACGAGATGCGGTACGGGCTGCACGGTGGCGCTCTGGAGACGTCTCTCATGCTGCACCTGCGTCCGCAGCTCGTCAGCACTTCCGCAGCAAAGGACTTTGCGTCGAGGGCGGCCGAGCAGCCAAAGGACGCCGCGCTCCAGCTCCACGCGCCCGGGTTCGCGACAAAGACTGGATGGCTCTCGCAAGACCTGAACGCGCACGGGGTGGTGGGCGCCGCCGCGACCCTCTCCTCCGCCGAGAAGGGCGCCACCCTCGCGCGCGAGTGCGTGGAGAGCCTCCGAAAGCTGCTGGTGGAGGTGCACGCGGCCGACGTGGACGAGCTGCTCAGCGAGAGGCCGCTCTTCCCGCCGCAGGGCGACGCGGGTGGTGAGCTCCGCTAGCGCTGGCGAGCTCCGCTAGCGCTGGCGAGCTCCGCTAGAAGCGTTGCGAGCTGTGACCTGTGGTGAAGTGTGTAGACCTCTGTAGAGGACCTGAGACTGGGTCAATTGTACCTCGGATGAAAATTGTACTTCTGGTGCATGTGCGTACAATCTACAAATGTACTCACCTTTGTTCTCTGAGTTAAGCCCGGGCATCAAAGAGGAGTCGCACAAAATATGTGTCACGACCGTCGCAGGGTGATGCGCGACGGGGCGGGCGAGCTACGCAAAATTGACGGCGCCGCCAATGCTCGCGCCAACAGCCCCCGCGGAGACGCCACGGGGGCCAGCTCTGTGGCGGGCGGGCGGCGTGGCGGGGGTCGGTGGCGGCGGTGGCGGCGGGAGCCAGCCCTCGCCGCCGCGGGTGCCGGCGTGCGACCAGCGGCCCTGTCGGGGGCAAGAAGAGGCGCGGCGTCGGGCGCCCACGAGCTTCGTGCGCGGGCGGCAGGGGATGGGCGGGAGTGGTGGTAGGAGAAGCAAGCTAGGCGAGGACCGGCGGGGGCACCGGCGGGTGGTGAGGTGCTGAGGGGAGTTTGAGGGGATCCCTACGCACCTCACCAGGCCGCCGCCCCACAGACGGAGCAGTGCGTGCGGCAAGGGCGGTCGCCTCGTTGCCTTGGAGCCCGACTCGCCGTCGCGCCTCTCCCTCTCGTCGTCGTCCGGCATCGCGATGGCAACCGACTGGTCGGGGCAGGCAACGAGGGGGTGGGGGTGGGGGGGGGGGGGGAGGGGAGTCTGACGGGCTCAGAGGCACAGAGACGAGAGAGTTTTGTCTGGCCACGTGCCCCAGCAAGGCAGTTTACTACAGGTGCACGGTTCTAGGAAGTGTCGCCTCATCTGGCAGCACCACGACTGGCAGGATGGGGGGGAGGCGCCGCGAAGGCTGCGTGACCGCTGCCTCCTGTGGGTCAACCCAGTGGCACGATCTGATCAGCCTCGAGCTCAACGCGGCCGCCAAGAGGAAGGAGGCGAAGGACATGTATGCACCTAAAGCGCATCACGCTCACGATGTGCGGCCCGGCGCGCGACCGAGCGAGGAGAGGAGGCGGAGCGCCGACGCTGCCGGCGCTGTCCCAGCGGGCGGAGTTGTCTCCGCTCCACATCCAAAGGAAGGGGAGCGCGACCATCAGGAACGCCACCGAAACGTATGCTAGCGAGAGGAAGAGCAAGCACCGCTGCCGCTGCGCAGAGGGCAGGCTCGGACGGAGTCCAGATGACCTGCGAGGTACGGGGAGCAAACGTGAACGTCCGTGGGCAAGGGACGGCAGCATGTGTCCCGCGCACCCCAAGGGGAGCTGCAGCAGCACAAGCGAGGAGGCAAAGCCGATGAGAGAGCCTGAGGTGGCGAGGAGGATCTGTCAATCGCTCGCACTCTGCCAATGCATGCGTGTGCCACGCGCGCTCTGAGCAGGTGGCTCTGCGTCTCTGAGCGCGGTGGCGCACCGAGCACGGCAACCGCCAGGCACGCAAAGTGGGGCGGCAGCCGGCACCCGTCGAAAACGATGGCGTCAAAGTAGGCGCCCGCGGTGATGCTTCCGAAGCCGATGGCGAGCAGGCTCGCGTAAAACTGCTGCCGGAACGCTCGGTAGATCCGTGATGGGGAGCGGCGATACGCTATCAAGAGCGGCGCGGCGAGAAGAGAGGCTATCAACAGCGAGGGGGCCGCACGCCACCCGGCCGTCATCCTCGGCGCGTGGCGCCACGGCGCAAACACGCGCACACGCGCGGGGCGTCAAGAATGTCTCGCCGGCCTGGGTGTGCTGCCTATGCTGTGGCCCGGGATGGGGTGCGGCCTCATCAAGAGCCGGCGGGCCACGTGTTTGGGAAGTCGGAAAAGGGGGGGGGTTCTGCGCCGGGTTTTGGAGTTCTTCACCTTCCTAAAAAGAAAGAAAACAGACAACCCAAGGGAGGGATGGGAGGACGGCACGCCGCCACCACACAGGGATTTTAAGGAGAGGAGTGTGATGCGCTAGCCGTCGCCCACCCTAGGGAGTCTGCCTCTTCCTATTTCTTTTCGCAGTCTCTCGCCGATTCTCGCTGCAACCTTCATGCCACCTCGCGGCCGTCCCACTCTCGTCGTTCTCTCCCTTGTCACTTCCTCCTCTGTCGCGTCATTCTCTTCTGCCTCGTCCTGCGCCGCCGCCGCCTGCCGTTCCCTTGTTCTCTCGGCCCTAACCTAACCTCGGAGACCGATTTCTTTATTTTGGCTGAATAAAAATAGGAGTGCGACAGGTGCAACGGGCCAGAGGATATCCACCTCGATAACGAAGGGGAAAATACGGGAAACCCAAGCTACACACAGTCTGTTGCGGGCATTAAGAAAACAGGATCGCGGCACGCCGCTGTTTCTAAGCCTTTCCACCCACCCCAAGAACTCTCTCTCTCCCACCCCACCCACCCCACGCCGTGGTTTCTTAGCTTCGGCCGGCACCCCAGGTCAGCCGGGATCTAGGAATTTTTAGGTAAAATGACAATAAGGAAGCGCTGGACCGTGTCGCAAGTCCGCACGCAGTCTGTCCGCAGTCTGCCACCCACTGGGATGACAGGAAGACGCACACACCTCCATCCACACCGCCCAGAACACCGCAGACTTGGGCAAAATGACAAGTGCGCGCGCCGCAGGCGAAGTAGAGCTGTTTAACGTTGGGAGCTGAACAGTGTTGCTAGTGTTAACAGTAACAACAGAACAACAGTGGGGCTCCCCAACAACAGTAGCTAACGTTAGGCCGGCTGAACAACAATACATGTAGGGCTGGGGATCGTTGGCGCGCTACTCTCGCTCGGGAGAGTCGAGTTTGATGGGCACTGCCGCCAGAAAACGCGCCTCGTGGACCGCCTCACTACCGCTCTCTCCCTCGCATAGCGGCCACGCTCTTCGGAGCGCTGGTCGAGCGACCCTATGATGTAACTTATTCCGGGGCCGGTGTGCGGGGAGCGAACCTTAACGACCGCCCAGAAGCTTTCTGAGCGAACCAATCGGGCCGGGATCATCAGCATATGTCCCCTCCACAACATCGTGGGCGTTTGAGCGGTATTTGAGGAGTACCGCCACTCTGAAGTTCGGCCGGGTGGTCTGCAGACCCCCCCCCCCGGAGCAGCAGAGGCTCCGTGGGGTCGCAAAGTCGACGCTGGGAGTCGCACTCGTCAAGCCATCGCAGCACCACGCGGTCCGCACGTACCGCCCACATCCCCTCCACCGCTGAGAAGGCGCAGATCGACCGCCGGGCCGCGTAGTTGTCGTTAAGGAGCGGTTTTTGGAGCCGTACGAAGAGGTCCCAGACGGGCGAACATGCGGTTTTTCGACGACCACACGCGATGTGGTATCTGGTTTTTGCTAAAAACGGGCCGCCTAGTGCAGCATCACTAGTACAACACGCAACCACACTGAGAGCTCCACACTAGCCGGAATAGGCGAGCCCCGGCGGCCTCACCGTCGCCGCTCGCGGCGGAGCCGACGGCGGAGCCACGGGCGGGTGCGACCTTTTGGATCGCGATTTTTTTCGAGCTCAGACGGCAGCGAGCGACTTTTGCCTGCAGCCGTAACTCGGCCTCTGGCCGCCGACAGCGCCTAACTCGGGGTCTGGGGCGGAGCCCCAGCCTGGGGTCTGGGGCTGGCAGCCCCAGCGGGGTGCGGGGCAGAGCCCCGCGAAGAAAATTTCGCATTTTTAGCACCATAAACCGACCAAAAAGAGGGCTGTGAGCTGCTGCCCAAGAGCCCCAAACAAGAGCGCAATGTACAAATATCGTACACAACAGTAGACCTCTAGATATCTACGTCTCGGCACGCGGGGTGACTCCGACTATTGTGCGAGAGGTACGTGACTGGTGACTCTGATCGTGGGCACAGACCCGAAGTACGCACCCATCCAATTCTCGGTCAGGTGTACAGTGGATCACCTTAAAAAATCCTGGATTAATTCCTGAGCCCACCCGGCCCCACCAGACGGGTAGAGCGAGGCGCCCGGGCCACTTTTTAGCGCCTCCCGAGCCTCCCGGCGCCTCCAGTGGCCTCCTGAACCCTCTCCCGCAGCCTCTCTCGGCGACGTGGGGAGCAGCTGCCGTCCACGGCTCGCACCGGCTCTTCCAGCGGCTCCACGCTTGCCGCCCGTGACGTCCGCGCAACGCACCACCACGCGGCCGCTCGAGAGAGCGGTCGACGCCCATACTGCTGGGCGTGGCGCTCTATCGGTCGACGCTTCGGCGTCGCTGCTTGGTAGGGGACCCGTGCCTCGACGCGGCGGCGCGGCCGAGTACGGCTCGGTGGCACACCGCGTCGCCACGGATAAGATGCGATCCTGCATGTCTTATAAATAAATAAATAGACCAGACATCTCCTGGGGAGATTGGGCAGTGTTCTGTGAGACGGACTTGGAGCACTTGGAGTGCAGTCATTAACCGCGCACATCCAGGGCCGGGGAGCTAAGAAGCGCTTCCAGCGGGCCGGATGATTGGCATCGGGTTGCGGGCAAGAGAGCCCTAGCCCAGGGGGTGCGCGTTCGCGGGGAAAGGGCCGTAAAGTAAACACGGGTCTCCGAGGGTTGGTTCCGTGTACCGGGTTTCCCCTTAATTGCAGAACGCCCCCTCTACTCGGAGCTAGTGGACACGGACACTACGACACCACCCGTCACGTACACACACGACTACTTAACGTGTACACTGCCCGGCTGCGCGGCGGCTCCCCGGCGCGGGGGCCTCGTCCCGCACCCATCAGGGCGAATCTTCGGTCTGGTTCGGTCTCTTGCGGCCCCACTCTTTCCTTCGCATAGCGGCCACTCTTCGGATCGCTGGTCGAGCGACCCGGGGGATGCCCCGCGCGCCTGACCCAGGCGCGAAAACGAATCTGCGAGGTGTGGCCGCTCATGCGGCCCGATGGGGAGGAGCGGGGCGGACTACGGGGATCGGCTTCTTACACAGCCCTTCCCTGCAGCGAGCCCCCCTGCAACCCACCCGCGCTAGGTCCTGGGTGACGTAGGGGAAACCCGGCGAGCCTCGGGAACTAGCCGGGGCAGTCGGAGAAGGGGCAACTCCGTGCACTGACGGTCGGCCGTCAGAAAACACGCCTCCGTGGCTCGGGTTACACCAATCCTCGCTACCCAACGCGGCCAAAGGAACAAAATCTCTCTCCCAAAGGATATCCCACGCGTGTGTTGATTTTCGGCGACTCGATTTTCGGCGACTCGCTTGGCACGCTTGGGCCGCTGTCGCTTCCTTCCCCGTTTATGGTGCTCGCGGCCTACTCTCGGGTCATTGCGGCTTACGCCCCTGGCTCGGATGGCGATGCGACCGGTGACTCGCGCCAGATGTACGACGGAATCCGTGGCGGCGGCCAGCAGGCGACAGAGGTGGCGCTCTCGACGACGCTCGCCCAGCGCGCGCTCCAGAGCACCACCTTTGGGCAGACGATGCAGATATTTGCGTACTCGAGCGACACGGCGAGGAACGGTGAGTACGGCACGCTCATTGACGCTACCACCAGCCGATGGTTCGTGCCGCCGTTCCCTCCGCCGCCAGCAAAAGCAGAACGGACGACTCTCGCGGCAGCAGAAAGGGCAGGCGGCAGCCAGCAGGAGACAGAGGCGGCGCTCTTGGCCACACCCCGCGCCCGGCGCTCGCTCGATAGCACCGGAACGTACGGCACGATCTTTGGGCGCAAGATCGGGCAGACGATGCAGATCTTTGCGTACTCGAGCGACACGGCAACGATCGGTACGTACATGCACATGTACCCGTCCGTACTCATCGACGCGGACACCGCCCTCTCCTGGCAAACCGTCGAGGTCGCCTTTGCCAACGGCGTGATCGAGAGCGTCGCCGCCGAGGACGGCCTCACTGCGACTATCAACACGAACAACAAGGAAATCGGCGTCGGCGACTTGGGTGGCTCGGGCAAGACCCACCCCGCCGGCCTCGTCATGACTGTCACCTTCACCTCCGGCACGGACATGGACAGCGTGTACATCGACTTCTCGTCGAGCACACCCGCGATCGGCATCTCCGCGCAGACCACCGTCTTGTTTACCTCGCCCCGTGTGGCGACCGTCGTGCAGGACAAGCGCAACAACCTCTACCTGTTTGCCTCGCCCAACACGCCCACCGACGGCAAGGCTTCGACCATCGAGATTGCGGTCACGGGCGCCTTTAACGAGAGCGACATCACCCCCCTTCTCACTGGCATGACGCCGCAGGTTGGCAGCGGCTTCTTCGGGCTGGGCTTCCCCAACGGCACGTCGAATCTCCCCGACGGCGAGGCGATCGCCGTCGCGTCTCGGCCCCTCCTGGACATCGACGTGGACTCTGTGACGACCGCGGTCGTCGCCTCTCCCGCCGCCCCGGCATTCGACGCGCTCATCTTTGTCATCGGGGCGGCCTTCGACCCGTGCGTCTTGTGCAACGCAATCATGACGACGCCACCGCCTCCTAGTCCCTTGCCGCCTTCGTCACCAGTGCCAGCATTGCCGCCACCGCCGCCACCGCCGCCAGCAGCAGAAGAACACGAAAGCAATTCGAGCTGCACCGGGGTGGTCGTCCCTCTCCAAGACGAGGCAGGACCACCCTGGGAAGCCTGCGCGGGGAAGGCAGGAGCGGACAAGCTCTACTTCAGCTTCTGCCGCGAGAGCGCCACCTGCACCATCTGCGACCACAATTTGCCCACTCCCAACATCTCTTGCAACGTTTACGTGCTGGTGGCCAGCCCGCCCGCGTCGCCGCCCCGCCCTCCGCCACCCCCGCAGCCGCCGTCGCCGCCGCCGCCGCCGCTACCGCCGGACTCGCCTCCGCCACCGCCGCAGCCGCCGCCACCCGCACCTCCACCGCCGTCCCCTTCGCCGCTGCCATCGCCTCCGCCGCCCAGCTCCCCTCCGCCTCTCTCGCCTCCAAGCCCCCAGTCGCCTCGGCCACCAGGGCTGCCGCCGCCGCCATTCGGGTCCCCACCGGCGCCTCCGCCGCCTGCGTGGCCACCCGGTTCCGACACGCCACCTCAATCGCCGCCTTCGCCGCCGGCGACGCCGCCGCCGCCCACGCCGCCACCACCGGCGCCTCCGCCGCCATCGCCGTCGCCAGCGCCGCCGCCGCCGCCGCCGCCGCCGCCGCCGCCGCCGTCGCCAATTCCTCTTGAGGATTGTCGCATCAAGGTTGACGACTGCTACGATCTGAACTCGAATGCGCCCGCCATAACCCAGGAGGAGTGCGCTCTGTACTATGACGTTACCAAAGTCGATAATACAACACGCCTCTGTGCGCTGAGTGACGGGATGTGCGACGGCTCATCCGAGGAAGTTCCGCTAGGCCTCACAGAGTGCCGTTCCCCGCTTCCGCCGCCGCCCTCGCCCCCGCCGCCGACGCCCCCGCCGCCGCCACCGCCACCGCCGTCTATTTCGCCGTCACCGCCGCCTCCCTCCACCTCGCCGTCGCCGCCGCCTCCCTCCGCCTCGCCCTCGCCGCCCCCCCCCTCCGCTTCGCCCTCGCCGCCGCCACCGTCGGTTTCCCCCTCGCCGCCGCCCCCCTCGGCCTCGCCCTCGCCGCCGCCTCCCTCCGCGTCGCCCTCGCCGCCGCCTCCGTCGGCCTCGCCCTCGGCGCCGCCCCCCTCCGCCTCGCCCTCGCCGCTGCCTTCCCCCGCCTCGCCTTCGCCGCCGCCGCCCTCGGCCTCGCCCTCGGCGCCGCCCCCCTTGGCCTCGCCGCCGGGTCTTTTTCCGGTGTCTCCTCCTGCGGCC